TGGCTTCTGTGGTCCAGCGATATGCCTTGAAGCACGGCATCGTGATTCGCTGACCATTTACGCAGCGGGAAACCGCCCGCCGTACACAGCCGAGATAGCTGCTGCTGTAGGCGGAGAGCCTCGTCCAGAGTAGAGGCACCGGAAAGGACGTCATCGACGTACGTGTCCCGCTGGAGCGCCTGAGCGCCCAGGGGGAAGCACTTGCCCTCGTCTTCAGCCAACTGGTGCAGCGTGCGGATCGCAAGGTAGGGGGCACACGCGAGACCGTAGGTCACCGTGTTCAAGCGGTACTCACCGACCGCGTCCCCCCCCCACAGAATGCGCTGAAGGTCGCGGTCGTCCGGGTGCACCAGGATCTGCCGATACATCTTCTCAATATCGGTAGCTAACACGTATCGGTGCAAGCGCCAGCGGGTGAGAACGTCAGCAAGGGCAGGCAGCAAGTTCGGCCCCGCGAGCAGCCAGGCATTCAACGAAGTGTCGGAAAGCACCCGGGATGAGCCATTGAAGACTACTCGTATCTTCGCGCCACTGCCCTCTCCCTTCATGACGCCGTGGTGGGGTAGGTAGCATACCCGACCAGGCGTTACAGCTTCAAGAGGAGAGGCGACCGACATGTGGCCTAGCTCGTGATATTCGACCATGAACCGATGATAGCGATCGCGGAAGTCCGGGTCGCGAGAGAAGCGGCGTTCCATCACGCTCAACAATCGGGCGGCCGCACGGCGCGTTGCGGAAAGATCCGGGGCACTCGGCCGGAGAGGAAGGCGCACCTGGTAGCGGCCAGTAGCGTCCCGAGAGTGCGTGCGGGCGAAGTGCGCCTCGCACTCCTGATCATCAGGCGAAAGCGGTAGAGGGGCAAGAGGGGCCTCCTCCTGCTCCCAGAAGCGGCGCACCAAGCTGCTCAGCTCATCCGCGGACGAGCATTGCAACGACGTGATGGCGCAGGTTGAGTGTCCGGTGCCTGCAGCACCAAGAATGATCCAGCCAAGCTGCGTCTGCTGGGCGATGGGCTCGAGAGGTCCTCCGCGGCGCAGGCCCGGAAGCATGATGTGAGCGAAGACGTCCGCTCCAAGGAGAAGCTCCACGGCGTCATGGCCCAGGAACTCCGGGTCCGCCAGCTCGAGACCCTCCAGGTGCGGCCACACGCGCGTGACCCGTTCGATAGCACCGCCGTACACTGTTAGCCGCGGAAACACCAGGGCGGACATCTCGAAGGACGTCTGCGCGGTTCGAGACGCGAGCGTGAAGGTGACACGACCGCGCGAGACGCCACTCTGCTGACCCCCAATCCCGAAGATCGCGACGGACGTGGGAGTACGCGGCAGGCGCAGGCGTTGCGCCAGCGACTCGGCGATCATCGACGTCTCGGACCCAGAGTCCACCAGCGCGCGGACGGGATGTCGCACTCCATGCTGATCGAACAGGACGACCCGTGCGGTCGCGAGCAGCACTTGAGCGCACTCCACGGGCGGTTTCGCGACGTGCACGGAGGCCGCGGGGCCGGGCCCCGAAATGGCCGCGGAAGACGTTACGAAGGCCTCATGTAGGGACGTGTGATGACGCGCCCCACACTTACCACAGGTCTTCATGGACGGGCATCCTTCCACCGGATGTCGCCCGAGGCAGTTCCGGCACAGCTGATGGGTGTCCACTAGCTCCCGCCGCTCCTGCGGCGTTTTCCTCTTGTACTGCTCACACATCATGACGAAGTGGTTTTGCTTGCAGGCTGGGCAGCCCCGACTAGGCTCGGATCCCCGCTTCTTGGTATGGTGCGCGCGGGTGGTGCGAGACGATTTTTCACTCTTTTCGGGGGAGGCAGAGTCCACCTTCACGACCCGGAGCACTTCCTGCGTTATAAGTTGCTCTTGCAGAAAGTCCCGCAGCTCCTCGTACGACGGTGGGACGGCCGATCGGCCGAGGGAGTTCTCCCATTCCCGACGCGTCTTCGTGTCGAGCAACTCGACAACGAGGTGCACAAAGAGGTCCATGCAATCGGTGATCGGGCGGCCTATGCCTTCCAGGGCACCCACGGTGGACACTACGCCATGGAAGATCCGTCTTAGATCGTCCACGGAGTCTGGCCTCATCTTCGGTAAGGAAGTGAAGGCAGTGAGGTAGGACCTCACCAGCAGCCGCTTGTTCTCGAAGTGCTCAGCCAGTATTGACCAGGCGCGGTCGAAATTGTCCTCCGTCGTGGGCAAGTTTCTGACGAGCTGCTCGGCGTCGCCCTTGACGCTCGTCTTCAGGTAGTGCAGCTTTTCTACCTTCGACAGGGATGCTTCCACGGAGACGATGGACCGGAATAGGTCCCTAAAGGCCGGCCAATCCTCGAACTTTCCCGAGAACTGCGGCAGCTGAATCCGAGGTAGCGCTCGGCGTGAGGGCGCCGCCTCCATTTTGATCAGGCGACTCTCGTCGAGGGAGCTTGAGGCGGTCAGCGCCTGCTCAATCTCCAGCAGCCTGGCTCGTTGATCGATGTAAGTGCCTTCGATCTCGCCAATGAAGTCATCGACGATGTAGTCGTGCGTTTGGAGCTCGGCTCCGTGCGAGGATAGCAGCGCATGATGCTGCTCTTCCGCCCTCATCCATTTACCGTCGAGTATGGTCATGGCTGAGCGAACGAGGGAAGCGGAAAGCTTAGTCGAACCTACCTTTTTTAGGTTCTCGTACGTACG